GAGATTAATATTCCACATTATGTAAAGCCCAGGACACAACAAACTGGACTTGAGTTTTAAGTAATGGCTTCTTTAATGTCATAGACAGCCAGAAGATATAAGGCAAATACTTTTTATAAAACATCTAAATACGTCTAAATGCTCTTCTTTCATGCAGAAAACTGGGTTTGAGTCCCAGCATTTCACCTCACATGCAGCCACTACTGTCAGTCAGTGGAGACTTATAGACAAACTAGGAAGAAAAGCTTGGAGATCTACTTCCAAACATCAGCCAATGGAAACACTACAGATCACAACAGTCCGAACTTATTGTGCATGGAGTAGTCATCAGTCAGGGGCAACTCAACAGCAGCTAACAACAAAGATGTCTGAAGGACTAGGTTCAGATGAGGATTACAATAAATGAAGTACCCTTTTGTGCAAATTCAGATGGGGATTATAATACAATAACACATTATCACATAAAATACATTGTAAACCAAAACCAAAAACCAAACTCACTGCCAACGAGTTGATTCTGACTCATAGAGACCCTCTTTGGGTTTCTGAAGCGGTAAATCTTTATGGAAGTAAGTTATAATAAAGCATGTACCCTTTTGTATAGTACTATTATAGCTCATGACTGTCTGAACTTTTGCTTGTTTGAATTTCACAAAAACCTGCCAGTATTGCACTCATTTTACAATTATTTGAGAATCAGAGAAGTTACATGTCTTGCCCAGAATTATAAAACTCCATATGATAGAGTCAAAAGTCTAACTGACTCTGCCCCATCAATTCTGAATGATATTACCCAGAGCCAGAAGACTATGACTAACCAAGACAATATTTAAAACTGAAGCTTCTCCTATCACACAGGTTTGGCTGCACTTAAAGGAAAAGGTTTAAAATCAGAGTGGGGAAGGGAAAATAGGTCATGAAACTCTATCCTGTCAGTTGTCTGTTGCAGCCAAGTATATTGTGACTCATAGTGACTCCATGTGTACAGACTTAAATCGCTCCATAGTTTTTCAAGGCAGATCTTTCGGAAGCAGATTACCAGGCCTGTCTTCCAAGGGGCCTCTGTGTGAGTTTGAACTAGTAGCTAGTAGTCTAGCACTTAGCCATTTCTACCACTGGCAGCATTTTCTTCTCTCTGCAAGCCAATCTGGTCAGCTGGTTAGCAGGAACACTTCCTGTATAAGCAGTGCCTGAGAAAATTAGCATCAATCACGTTAAAGCAGCTCAGTCACTCCTTGGCCTGAAGCATTAGAAATCAGATGGCCTGTCAATCACAGGAGCTCAAGAAGAAAGGCACTGGCTGCCGTGATAAAATCTGAATTTACTCATTTTAAAAAAAAGGACCAGGTTTGCTGGTCTGATAGAGCCTGATGGAACCACTGAGACTATGGCTCCTAGCTGCCCATCAGGTCTGGAATTCAACCCACCCCTGTGGCTTCCAGTCAAACAAGAGACAGGCATATGAGATGAACAATTACATTAGGTAGATACACTCCTTGGAGAGCTCAATCATGGGAGAATAGAAGGGCTGTGTATGCACAGGGAGACAGCTCAGCGGGCAGGAGTGCATGGAGAGAAGGACACAGGGAAGAGGAAGTGGGAGGGGAGCTTTTGCATTGTGGTAAATTATAGTCAATGTCATGAGACAAAGTGTATGTGAGCTGCTGTATGTAAATTGAATTTGCTCTGTAAACTTTCACCCAAATCACAATTTAAAGAAAGTGAAAAAAAGAAATCTGGATTTATTAACAATGGAGGTTTTACATAGACCCTGTTGTCATCGAGTCAATTCCAACTCATAGTGATCTCATGTGACAGAGTAGAATTGCTCCACGGGGTTTTCTTGGCTATAATCATTACAGAAGCAGATCACCAGGTCTTTCTTCCATGGAGTTGCTCAGTGGAGTCAAACTGCCAACCTTTCGGTTTGTACTTAGCTGTTCCTACTTACTCAGCACTTAACTGTTTGCACCCCAAGGGCTCCTTACATAGACCCTATTGTTGTCATTGTTGTCAAGTTGATTGTGACTGATAGTGACCCTATAGGGCTGAGTAGAACTGGCGTGTTTCCAAGGCTATAAATCTCTACCAAATCAGACTGCCATATCTCTCTCCCACGGAGCAGCTGGTGGGTTTGAACTGCCAACCTTCTGGCTAGCAGTCAAATGCCTTAGGCACTGCATCACCAGCGCTCCTTTATCTCAAGGAAAGGGGTCTGTATTTATTTTTCATCCACTCGTTCAGTAAACATTTGAGTGTTTATTATTTACCAGGTACCATAACTGAGAAAAGGAGAAATACAAAATTGGACTCCACACTTATGAATGTGACAGTGTATAAGGCAGATATTGACACTGAAATGCAGTATGTAGTGTCATACCTACAATAGTTACATACACACAGAAAGAAGTAACAATTTCCACTTAGAGGAGTTTGCAGTGTTCATAGTGTTGGTGAGCCAGGTCTCTTTAGAACAAATACAAATTTGCCAGAAGATGGTGGAGAAGAACATTTTACCCAGTGGAACAAATGTACAGAAGAAACACATTCTGTTTAGAAAGTTGCTAGTGCTGTCATGTTGGCCCTTGACTCATGGGACCTCGTAAACTACCAGATGAAAGGCTTCGCCTCCCCACAATGGGGTGGGAATCAGACCACTGTGATCCACAGGGTTTTCATTGGCTGATTTTCGGAAGTAGATTGCCAAGCCTTTTGTCCTAGTCCATCTTGGTCTAGAAGCTCTTATGAAACCTATTCAGCATCGTAGCAACACACACGCCTCCACTGACAGAACAGTGGTGGCTGTGCAAGACGTGTATTGGCTGGAAATCAAATCTGGGTCTCTGGTATGGAAAGCAAGATTCTACCACCGAGCCACCAACGCTTTAATGTTTAGAAAGTAGAGATGTACGACTGTTCTGTGACCCTGAAAGAAATAGGCTTGGCGATGGATTTCAATGCATTAAATATTCTTAATTTAATGACTCTGGATCTGTTTTTTGGCATACTTATTTAGACCAGCTACACCCATCTGCATACCTAGGGAAGTAAAAGGCTAGTTCCATTAGAAAAGGTAGATCCCAATTGAAAGGACCAATAGGTTGTGTTGTTGTTGTTATGTGCCATCAAGTCAGACCTGACTCATAGCGACCCCTCCTTGGGTTGCTGAGGCAGTATCACTACAGAAGTAGATTGCCCAATTTAGTAAATCACTACTTTTTAAAACTCACCTGTTTTAAGAGAAGGTTGTTGAAAGCCCGTTCTTTCATTTCATCTCTATTATCACCCCTAGGGTGCAGTGGCTAAGTGCTCAGGTGCTAATAGAGAGATAAGTAGTTGGAACCCACCAGCTGCTCCCCAGGGTAGTCACTATGAATCCAAACCGACTGGAAGGTAACATGTTTGGTTTCTCAGTTTATTATTGTTGTTGTTGTTATGTGCCGTCGAGTCGATCCCGACTCATAGCGACCCCTCCTTGGGTTTCCGAGGCAGTATCACTACGGAAGTAGGATTGCCCAACCTTCCTTCCGAGGAGTGGCTGGTGG